AAGAGCGAACACGCTCTTTTGGAAGCCTTGTTTTTCTCCTCCCATAAAGCTCCTCTTGGCCTGCTGCTGGGTGGATGCCGGAAGCTGACTACAGCTATGTATTCACAGCTATGTACCTGTATATAAAGTGGTGTCTTGGGGGACAGTCTTTCTATGATGTAGGGGGCAGTGGAAATTTCCCACTGATTGAATCATTCCATTGTTACGAACACGCTCTTTTGGAAGCCTTGTTTTTCTCCTCCCATAAAGCTCCTCTTGGCCTGCTGCTGGGTGGATGCCGGAAGCTGACTACAGCTATGTATTCACAGCTATGTACCTGTATATAAAGTGGTGTCTTGGGGGACAGTCTTTCTATGATGTAGGGGGCAGTGGAAATTTCCCACTGATTGAATCATTCCATTGTTACAGGGTACATGTGCTAGTGGTTCAATAGAGTTTACTGTACTTTGCTTAACAATAAACCTGGCTGGGCACCTTCGATCCTTATCTGGCTTGTGGTCTTTGGGGGCTTTTTGGGGGTCTGAGGTGGAGACTAAGTGCACAAGTCAGCACGGCACATCACTGAGCACACACGCAAGCAGCCTTCTGGTCATCATCATCAACGGAGCCAGAGTCCTGTGAGGACACCTCGTCAGTAAATTCTGACTGCCTCCTGAATAATTGCAGTAGTGTCTAGACCAGTGTTTCTTAAACTGTGTTGGCTACGTCTAGACTGGCATGAGCGTCTAGATTGGCACGGACGCTTTTCCGCAAAAGCACTATTTGTGGAAAAGCGTCCGTGCCAATCTAGACGCGCTTTTGCGCAAAAAAGCCCCGATCGCCATTTTAGCCATCGGGGCGTTTTTGCGCAAAACAGTACTGTGCTGCTGTCTACGCTGGCCCTTTTGCACAAAAGCCTTGCGCAAAAGGACTTTTGCCCGAACGGGAACAGCATAGTATTTCTGCAAGAAGCACTGATTTCAAACAGTAGGAAGTCAGTGTTCTTGCGGAAATTCAAGCGGCCAGTGTAGACAGCTGGCAAGTTTTTCCTCAAAAGCAGCTGCTTTTGCGGAAAAACTTGCCAGTCTAGACCCAGCCTGTTCTATGGTACACTGGTGTGCCTCGAGGCAGTCAGAGGTGTGCCGTGGAGAACACAGAATTAAAAATGGCTGCCCCACTTTTTTTTTTTTTTTGCTAAATAACTTGGTATTCCTCATAAAAAAATTGTTTGGTGTTCCTCGGTCTTAACAAGTTTAAGAAACACTGATCCAGACATCTCAGTCCAGCCGTATCCCCACTGTGGTAAACACATAGGAAATGACAGTCTTTTCTTCAAAGATCATTACTATTCTTGGTAATTTCACTGTCTGTGCTGCTGCTGATTCTTAGGCCATGGTAATGAAGGTACTTACTCTTCCTTCCAGGTGGTTTATGACTGAAACTCACAGTGGGGCTGGAAGTTCTGAATAGCGGTTTGTGTGTGTGTGTGGGGGGGGAAGTATAGTATGACACCTTTATCATGGGCAGATCATTACAACTGGACTGAGGCTAGGGTCTCTCTCTGCTCCAGCTGAGGTGCTCAATTTTTTGAATGGTTCTTTTTCAGGGCTAGATTGTGACAGACTGAAGTCTACTAGACCATGGGTGGTGTTAGGTATTTTTCATTTTGTCTAATGGTATCACAAACTGTTCCTCAGAGACTGAAAAATCTTATTAGACTCCAGAACATTTAAAAGGGATAATGTTGTCTAACCCTGACCAGTATAATTCTGAACCTGAGGGATTTGTTTCCAGAGCAACAGTCTTGTCTTGTTTTTTTTCCCAGTCCCACCACATTTTGTTAGTGTGATAGTGGCAAATATTGTTGATTTATGTCCCTTCCTTCCCCCAAAGAAAAGTATTTAAATTTCTGGTCTAGCTTTTCTTGGTAATGTAATCACTTTTCTGGATATTCTAAATGAATCTATGACAAGCTAAAGACAATTCACTCAGAATTATTCCCATTCCTAAGAAGATATACATTATTGCTGTTTCCAAAGGCTAGCATTCCTCAGAGTACAGGTATTTTGACTGTATGCATTTTGGATAGCATGTATCCTATTGTTTACTGCCTGAAAGTATCTGTCACAGGGTCCTTTAAGGGCAAAAACCCAGCCCTGAGTGAGGGCTGAGTGAAGCCACAGCTGAGGTAGTTCTGGCTAATGAAGGCCCAGATGAGGGCTATATAAAGAGGGGCTCCTTGAGGGAGAGGAGGAAATACACTCTTAGTCTGGCTAGAGAGTAGGGCTGGGGAAAGAAGGCAGGGATAGGGAAGCTCTGGTCAAGCAAGACCCCAGACTGCAAGGCCTGAAGCTACTGAGGCTGCAAGGGGCAGCAGGTCCACACCCCTTTTGCCAGTGATGAGTGGCCATTACAGACTGCATTTTGCCCCTGAGGCTTGAGCTAGATGAAGACTGACAGTGGGTCACTGAGGCAAGGTGGGTACAAGGGAACTGGGTCTTCACTGGGAGAAGAACTGGGTACCCCTTGGCAGGGGAGGACCCTGGAGTGTGCAGTTGGGTAAACAGTACCTCCCTTTTCCCCTCCCCCAAAAGGGGTGCAGAGAAACTAGAGTGGGCATTGCTGGAGGGTGATGTCCTGAAGAGGATACCATGGTTAAAGAGTAATATGGGTCTGGACTAACGGTTAGAGTGAGAACGGAGTGGGTATTGCTGGAGGGTGGTGTCCTGAAGATGATACCATGGTTAAAGAGTAATATGGGTCTGGACTAACGGTTAGAGTGAGAACACTGGGAGACACCAGCTAGAGGAAGGCATCCAGTGATCTGGCGAGCTAATTTCCAGGCTGGAGGTCTGGAGGCACCAGGGTGGTGAGTCAGCCCCGTGACAGGATCCAAGTGTGAAATTACACTTGGATTTTCTGGTAAACATTACAGGCATTAATAATCCTCTTCTGGTGTGTGTGTGTGGGGGGGGGGGGAGGACTAAGTAAACTAAATACAAGTATCTCATTTATGACCAACAATCATGCAAGCAAAATTTCTACTTTGTTCTTTTTTTTAAGATATGCTTGAGTAATCTATTTTACAACTAACTAGATATCCCACACCACACCGATGTGCAAGAACTAGTTATGTAGGCAGAAAAGCATTAAAAGATTCTAGGAGACACGTGCTCAAACTACATGCTGCGGGTAAAAGAAACTACTGAGGGAAATGTAGAGCAAGAGGAGAAATGCGGGAAGAGAAGGGGGTGGAGAGCAAGGGCGAAACTAGATTTACTATTGCCTACCCATTGGTCAGCTTCAGATCCGCATCATTATTGGTTGAACACATCCATGTTCCTTTTTTTAAGCCAATCACGAATGACACTATCAGTCACACAGACAGGATAAAAGGAGAGACAGCAGGTCGTCAATACGTGCCTAGTGTTCATTTTGTTGTTTGTCTTGTTGCGCCCTGTTGCTAGGAAGCAAGCTACGATGTCAGGTCGGGGAAAACAAGGCGGCAAAGTGCGGGCTAAGGCGAAGTCTCGCTCTTCACGGGCTGGGCTACAGTTCCCCGTAGGCCGAGTGCATCGCTTGCTCCGCAAAGGTAACTATGCTGAGCGCGTGGGGGCAGGAGCCCCGGTCTATATGGCCGCCGTGCTGGAGTATCTGCCCGCTGAGATCCTCGAGTTAGCTGGGAACGCTGCTCGGGACAACAAGAAAACCAGGATCATCCCCCGTCACCTGCAGCTCGCCATCCGTAACGACGAGGAGCTCAACAAACTGCTGGGGAAAGTCACGATCGCTCAAGGCGGTGTTCTCCCCAACATCCAGGCGGTGCTGCTGCCGAAGAAAACCGAGAGTCACAAGGCCAAGAGCAAATAAAACCTGAGCCAAGTAGACGAAGCTTCAGAACTAACCCAAAGGCTCTTTTCAGAGCCACACACTAACTCGTGAAAAGAGCCGACAATCCCTAAAATACTGAGCAGTTCTGTTCTTTAGAAAATTTCCCTCCCTCCTTCCCCGTTAGTAGGCGTCATATCAAACATTTTAGCATTTACAAGTGACTCTTTCGCTTCCACCATTACTGTTCTTAATAAAAGTCCCTTTTGTGGGAGGGGAAAGCGGGCGCCAAGCGTTTGTTCTTCCAGGTTCTATAAATGTCTACAGGGCAAAACATTGTAAACCGTGTGTGCGTGTAATAACCACCGACGGGAAACCCGCATTCAATTTTTTTTAAAAAGTGATTAAGGTGCAGTCTATAATGAATCCACCCTGATTTTTTTAAATCTTGCTACGACCAAGAAATATATACAATATTACCCACTTGCGTTTCATCTTCCTGGCGTGTTTCCTACTCACATGTGAAGAACTCTCCCAAATATCTATTGGTTCATTGGAACCCAAAATAATAGTGAAACCCTAATACCTTTACAAGGAAGTTTCAATTCTTCCTGAAGTGCATTGAAGAGTTCTTAACAGATTTTAATTTCAAATAGGTAAAGCATGTTATACTGTCTAATCTGTTCCCTCTGTAGTTTGGATAAATTAAAGTTTGTGGGAGATTGAGGGTATGGCCAGTTACCGATAGGTTAATTTGATACAAGAGAGATTTCATCCCCATTTATGATTAGATAGGGCATATGACACTGGTTGTCGGTTCGAAAATGTCACAAATGGAAGGCAAAGCAGTGATACGAAAATACTTTTTCAAATGACTACTTTGGTTTAACATCTGTTAATATAGTATCATTAGGAATCTCTTGTAACTATGTAGAATAGTGATAGAAATGTAGCCGTGTTAGTCTGGGGTAGCTGAAGCAAAATGCAGGACAATGTAGCACTTTAAAGACTAACAAGATGGTTTATTAGATGATGAGCTTTCATGGGCCAGACCCACTTCCTCAGATCAAATAGTGGAAGAAAGTAGTCACAACCATATATACCAAAGGATACAATTAAAAAAAAATGAACAATATGAAAA